GTTTTACCCAGAGTGGTCCTGCCCATACTGCCTGGTTCCCGGGGACAGTCACCCATGTGCGTATGCACGCATTCATCCATGTTGGTCATCTGATAAGAAATCCACCACAGGGAGCTCACAGCTTTATGGGTGCTCCAGTGTACCCGCACGTTCATTTTTGGTGTGCAGGTGTGAGTGGGTACGGTGTGTACCTGTGAGGCACACATGTGGAGGCCAGATGTCAATGACATGTCCTCTGCCATCTCTCTCCACCATTTTTGTTTTGGTTTGGTTGAGACAGTGTCTGTCTTAGTCAGGGTTGCTATTGCTATGAAGAGACACCATGACCATGGCAGCTCCTATAAGGGAAACATTTAATGGGGTGGCTTACAGTACAGAGGTTCAGTCCATTATCATCATGGCGGGACATGGCAGCATGCAGGCAGACATGGTGCTGGAGAAGGAACCGAGAGTGGAGAAGGGGCTACATCTTGATCCAGCAGGCCACAGGAAGTGGTCTGAGACACTGAGCACAGCTTGAGCATATAGGAGCCCTCAAAGCCCGCCTCCATGTGACACACTTCCTCCAACAAAGCCACACCTACTGATAGTGCCCCTCCCTATGGACTTAGGTGGACCAATCACGTTCAGACAACCACTGTGTCTCTCACCAAACCTGGAGCTCATTAATTAGCTAGGCTGGGCAGCGAGCTCCACGATTCTCCTGTCCCTGCCTCTCAGCTCGGAGGTTGCAGGTACATATCACTGCACCTGGCTTTTTTTTCTGTGAGTGGTAGAGATTTGAACTCAGGTCCTCATAATTTTGCAGGAAGCACTTTGCCCAGCAAGCCATTTCATCTCCCCAGCCCCACAGCTCGAAAACAATGCTGCCTTATGTCTGACAAATTGCTCCTTGATTTATTGAGGGCCTATGACACAGCCACGGAGCTCAATTTACAACTCCTGTCCACATGCAGTGGGGTTTTGTTTGTTCATTTGCTTTGTCTCTGCAGGACTGGGATTCAAACCCCGGACCTTGTGCATGCTTTGTCTGCTCTACCACTCGCTGAGCATCATGGGCATCTCCTACAGCAGGCAGTTTCCACTCCATTTTGTAAGTGGAACTATGGGGCCTCAGAAAGCTCCAGGCACTCGCTGTAGACCACACAGTCATTTCAATCTAGGTTCTCTGGCCTCTCCCACAGCATGACCTTTTCTTACAGACACCGTGTCGACATTGAAAGTGAGAGTTCGGAAGTTAGGAGCAACTGTGGCAACCCCACCACTTACCTTCCGAGGTCTTAACTGGGGGATTTGGATGGTGTGGACTCAGTGGGGTTGGGATTCCCAGGACTCTCTTCCCTGCATAGTTTCTGGTTGGCATGGGGCAAGGGAACCTCCTTGGGGAGGTGGGGTACAGTTTGTCCACCTGGGCATTCTGTGGCTGGCTTAGGGACTGGCAGAGACTTTCTCCTGCAGACCCTGGAGTAGGGGTGGTGACAGGAGATAAAGGAGGTCTGGGGGGTTCAGCCTCAGGGCTCCAGCCTGTCCTGGGCCCTCCCACTTCTTACCTGTCCCTCCCTCCAGGTGGCCCTGATGATATGAGGACCCAGCACCAGGTCCTCCCAGCCCCAGGCACCAGCTCCGTCAGGCCTGGGAGGCTAGACTCTGCAGTCAACTCTTGTAGTCCATTCTCTTGACCCCCAAGCTTTGACACGCTCAGGAAGGCTGAATCCCCCATCCCTGAGCTTCCAAGCAGAGCCAGCCGGCCAGCTCTCACTGGCCCATTGTTTTCCAATGCCTAATCACACACTTAAGCTTGGAGGTTTAGAAACCACCTCGGAGACACTGATGAAGCACGGGGTGGGTGTGGGGGGGCAGGGACAGTGGAGGGACTCCCTCTGCCTTCAACCCAGACATCTTGGGTTTCCCAAGGCACTTGGCAGTTCTCCACAGACCTGAACCAAGACTCAGAGAGCAGGGAGATCTCCAAGCTGGCCGCCAGGGAAGCGGACTGTCTAGTGGAAAATCCTGATGCCAGCTTGTGCCTGGTGTCGCAAAGCTGTGGCCGGCCTGGAGGGACGTGCCACACCACAGGAAGTTACGTGTCTGGCTGGGTACTGCTAGCGCATACAATGCGATGGTTTTAAACTTTTCCAGATGCTCGGAATATGAGCAACTTCAACTGTCCGACCACAAGTATTGCATGCCGGAGCGTGTACGTGTGTGTGGATGCGCATGCGCTAAGAAGCCTGGATTAGAAATAACTCACAAAGCAGAAAGAGCAGTCAGTTAGTCCCTGGTCGGGCTCCCATTGGCCTGAGGAGAAACTATCAAGTCCCTCTGTGTTCAGACTGACAAGAAAACAGCGATCAGTCAACGGCTGACTGAACACTATTTCACAGCTATGGTGGCACAGGTCTGTCATCCAAGCTCCTCCAGATTCTGGGGCAGGAGGATTGCACATCAAAGGCCTACTTGGGCTACCTAGGGACTTCAAGGCCAGTCTCAAAAGTTAAAAAGAGGGCTGGGTTGTAACGTGGCAGTAATTTAGAAATACCAAATAATAAATATTATGACCATTGAGGCATTCAGTTACCTCCCTATTGCTCACGGATTCAGTAAGTAAACTGAGGCTCGGAGCCCTCCACAACAGAAGTCAATCCTAGAGTCTCAGGACTGCCTTAGGCTGGTGTTTCTCAGCATTTGGGTCGCGACCCTTTTGGGAAGTCGAATGACCCTTTCACAGGGGCTGCAAAAGACCACCAGAAAACACAGCTATTTACATGACAATTTGTAACAGTAACAAAATTACAGTTATAAAGTAGCCACAAAATAATTTTATGGTTGGGGTCACCACAACATGAGGAACTGTATTAAAGGGTGGCAGCACTAGAAAGCTTGAGAACCACTGCCTTAGCCTGAAAGGGGCCAGGCCTGTACTGGTTCTCAACGCCACTCGGGGGCGCTCTCGAGGACCAGTCACTTCCGTTTCTGGTCGCCAGGTTCACTGAGGGCATAGAGGACATGCTATGTGTGGCAAGTGGCCAGGTCCGGGAGGGTTGGGGTGGAGAGTGGGGTGAGGGTAGACTTGGAGGATCAGCCCTCCTTCACACAGCTCCCTGGAGCTCTGGCCAGGCACTCCTGCCCTCCCATATGGCTTTGTTACCCTTCTTGGTGATGGATGGCCACAGAGAAGGCCACAAGCCACACTAACAGTTTTCGGGGCTGTCAGAGATGCTGGCGACCAGGCAGATGAACTTAGCTCCCACAACCACCCAGGCAGCTGCGTGTGTCTAGCGCCAGGCCTGACTGGCCAGGTCACAGACATTCCTATCAATATACCCTCCAGCAGTAGGTTCCCACCAGTCTCCTGTCCACACAGCCAAAGCCCTTTGAAAGAAGGCTCACTGCAAAATGACCGAGGAGGAGCAGGCAGGTGAGGGACCTTGTCACCATCCAAAGGATGGGATGACCTGGGGCCTGTGTGGCTCAGGCTTGAGTCAAGCATTTCCCTGCCATTTCAGGGAGTTTCTAGATATCTCTGCCTCACTGCCATGCTCCTGCCCCAACCCCACACCCCTGCTTTGCCATAGAGAAGCTTCAAAAATTGTCGTCTGCAGAGTTCTCACTCTGCCCTCACGCAGCCACCACGCCTGCTTCCTGCAGTGCTGTGGATGGAACCCAGGGCTCCCAGCGCGTAGGCAGGCACTCGGCTGGCCCACCGATCCAGGGAGCACTCGACTGGCCCACCGATCCAGCGGGCACTCGGCTGGCCCACCGATCCAGCGGGCACTCGGCTGGCCCACCGATCCAGCGGGCACTCGGCTGGCCCACCGATCCAGGGAGCACTCGGCTGGCCCACCGATCCGGCGGGCACTCGGCTGGCTCACTGACCCACGCCCCTGGCTCAGCCCTGTGCTTTTCTAACATGGGTCCCAGGACCTGGCTCAGCATTCCAAGGCTTTGATTGGTTTGATTATGTAATGTGGTCCCACACCGATTCATACTCCCTCTCATAACTGAGTGTCTTCCATGCCCCTCCCCCCCTTCTGGGCTCGAGGACACAATGTCGCACGTTGCCAACCAATGCTGTTTCCCGGATGGAGCTGACTTTTACTGCAGGAGATAGACCAGGGGTGAGTAATCAAATATTCAAATAACCAAATACCACTCCAGGCAGCTACAAGTGTGGGCAGGGCAGGAGAGAGAGGATGGGGTTTTAGGGATGACATTCAGAAAGGGTGTCCTCTCAGGGGCTTCCCTGAAAGACAGAGACCTGAGAGCAGCATTCCTGGCCAAAGGTACAAGGACCAAGGCGCAGAGGCCTGAGCCCAATGGTAGAGGGAGCGTGGCGTGTCTCAGACGCCAAAGGGAGCATTTGTGAGAGGTTTTGAGGAGGAGGTAAAGGGTGTTAAGCAGAGCCTGCACCACACAGAGCCTTGTGGGGGCGCGGGCTTGCTCTCTGGTATGAGGAAGCCATTCCTGATGATCACTGTTTGTTTATTTATTGAGACTGGCTAGCCTGAAACTTACTGTATAGACCAGTCTGGTCTCAAACTCAGAGATTTGCCTGCTTCTGCCTCCTAGTGCTGGGATTAAAGACACACAGTCAAGAGGACTCACCTGGCCCCTGGCTCTGAAGACAGCTCTTGGTTTGGAAGTCTCACAGTTTTCCTGTCACCAGGCTGAGGGAACGTGGGCCCTCTACATGAACTCAGGGTTGCCTGGTTCCCCAAGGGTGGCTTCCGCTTCCTTCCCACAGACCCGTCCCATCCCAGTTCTAGGGACCATGTGGGGCTGGAGGGGGTGTGGGAGAGCGACTCACCTCAGGATCTGACGGGGGACTTTGCAGTTGTGGTGTCTACCATGTGCCTGTGAGCTCACAGTGGGCCACCTCAGGTACAAGGCCACAAGCAGGGTGGCGGGTACCAAGGAACCCACCTGCCCTGGGGCCATGCATGATCATCTTTTGTCCATACAGAATTATGTCCTCAGACAGACACAGCTAAGTCAGCATGGCTTTCCTTATATGTGTGTATAACTGCACGCGTGACACGTGTGTGTGTGTGTGTGTGTGTGTGTGTGTGTGTGTGTGTGTGTGTGTGTGTGTGTTACGTTCAATCTGGGCCATGGCTATCAAGAGAACATACCAAACCAGGTGCCTACATGGAAGATGTCCTGGCTACTTTTACATCAACTTGGCACAAGCTAGAGTCACCAGAGAAGAGGAAGCCTCACTTGAGAAAACGCCTCCAGAAGATCAGGCTGTAGGCAAGCCTGGAGGGCGTTTTCTTAATTAGTGGTTGAGGTGGGAGGTCTAGTCTATTGTGGGTGGTCCTGAGTTCTATAAGAACGCAGACTGAGCAAGCCATGAGGAGCAAGCCAGTAAGCAGCACCCCTCCATGGCCTCTGCATCAGCTCCTGCCTCCAGGTCCCTGTCCTGCTTGAGTTCCTGTCCTGACTTCCTTCAACAATGAGCTGTGATCTGGAAGCAGAATCCCAACAAACTGTTTCCTCCCCAGGTCATGGTTTCCATTACAGCAATAGTCATCCTAACAAGGACAGGAAAGTTCTGCTCCAGACGGGCCATCATGCAGGCCTGATTGGCTGACCCACAGTCACCAAGGACTGGCTTCTCTGATGTCATCACTGTGGGTCTCACCTTTCGCCCATGGCTTCCAAGTGCCCTCATGGATCAGCCAATCTGCACATCCAGTCAGAGTCATCATCCCCATCTGACAGTCGGAAAAACTGAGGCAGGCTGGGTTTTCCCACAGCAGCTTTTTGACACTAGCACCGAGATTAAGGAATCAGTTTAAATCCGGTAGATGACTTGTGGGTAAAGGTGCCTGATGCCAAGACTGGTGACCTAATTTGATCCCCAGGTCCCACCTGGTGGGAGGAGAGAACCCACAAGTTGCCCTTTGACCTCCACACACACTGTGTGGCACATACGAGCCCTCACACATACACAATAAATAAGTGTAATAAAAACAAATCAGTTCTCCTTAGGACCCCAGGGAATTTCTAATAACCACAGCTCCCCTTTCCTTCCCCTCCCCTTCCTTCCCAGTCCTCCTGCCTCCTCCTCTTCAGTGGTGGATGATTACCCCGTGTCCGTGTGTCTGGCCCCGTGGTTGATTTCTGCTGTGGGACACTTGTACACTGTGTGAAGATGTATTGCTGGGATGGGTTTAATAAAGAGCCAAATGGCCAATGGCTGGGCAGCAGGGCGTGGGCGGGACTTGCAGGGAGAGAGAGGAACTCGGGGATGAATCCGGGATCACTGGAGCCACCAGCGAGACTCGGGATGAATCCAGGATCGCTGGAGCCACCAGCGAGACTCGGGATGAATCCGGGA